GGAGGGAGAGACTGGGGAAGACCAGAGACAAGGACACGAGAGGCCATGCTCCGAAGACGAGCGAAGGAGGGGTGGCCTAGACGGTGGTGCCACAGGAGAGTCTCGTGAGACAGGAGGCGACAGGAACAGGGGGCAGACTCAGGACCTGACCGGGACGCAGCAGCAAACACCTGACCTGACGCAGCTACCTGACCAGACACAGGGACAGGAGGAGACGAAGTGGTCAGGGTGTAGAGACTCGACCCCGGTCGACGCGAAAAGGTGGCCAGGTGTCGGCCTGTGTCTGCGTCCGTGCAGTGGGTCACCCGCCGCCTCGCAGGAGTGAACTGGTGAACCCCCGCATCCTGTAGGTCCGCACCACTCACCAAGTTCGTAGAGAACGAGGGAAGGTACAGACCAGACAGGGTGCCCGAAGGGGCAGCCGGACACGGGAGGACAGTGGAGAAGTGAGACAGGACAGGACCCCCAGAGGGGTCAGCAAGGGAGACCGCAACCGGTCGGCCAAGTGGCGTGAGGGTAGTGCGGTCTCGAAAGAAGGAGCGAGAAGCCCCAGAGTCAAGTGTGAAAGTGAGGGAGGACGAGGGCGACGCAGTACCTGAGAGCGCAGTCTCACCAGCACCTGAGAGCGCAGTCTCACTAGTACCTGAGAGCGCAGACGCACTGGCACCTAGAGCAGCAGCCTCACAAGTACCTAGGGCAGCAGTACCAATGCCCGGGTCGGGCTGGAAACACCGGTAACCCTCATTCTCCTCACTATAAGTCACAGCATACATAGCAGAAAGGATAGCATCAAAATCAAGATCAAAGATCGCTACACCAGCCCTAAGGAGCTCATCCCAGCGAGGGATCTCACTAGCCCCGGGGAACTGCTGACGCCAGGCGTCCGTCAGGCGGCCAAAGCAGCGCTGGGTGGAGTGGGCACCCCCACACTGCTCACCCGCGCGGTCGCCGGAACGAAGAACGTAGGCGCAGGGACCAGTACCCCCACCCCTCTGACGCGCAGTGTACCACTCACGAAGCTGCTGAGGCGGAGGGATGTCCCGCGAACGCTGCTGCTGCTGCCGCTGCGAGCGCTGGCCACCACCACCGCCGCTCCGCTGCTGGGTACCACCACGACCAGCTCCACCTCCTCCACCACCACCGCCTCCTCCGCCGCCGCCTCCACCGCCTCCACCTCCACCGCCTCCACCTCCACCGCCTCCACTCCCGCTGCTGCCTCCACCACCACCGGTGCCACCACCACCACCGTCTCCGCCGCTGCTGCCACCACCACCACCACCACTACCACTACTCCCGCTGCCACCCCCACTCCCTCCGCCGCCTCCGCCGCCACCGCCACCGCCCCCTCCAGCTCCGCCCGCGCCCTTGCCCCCCTTGCCCTTGCCAGAGCGACGTCTCCCACTAGGGGCAGACGCCGCGCCGACCGACTCAAGACCAAGCAGGTCGGCCGCAGCAGCAGAGGCAACAGAGGGCAGCAAGGGGGAAGGAGAGCACCCCTCAAAGATGGGGGTGCGAGGGTCACCACGAGAGGCACCGACAGCGACTATGCTCTTCTCCGCTGCGAGGAGGGCCTTCTCGAGGAGGTCGACGGTGAGAGTGGTGGGACAGACTGCGAGAAAGTGGTCCCTGACTACGCGGAGGGAGTCAGGGAGGCGTGCGACTACGTAGTAGAGAGTGATATACATGGGGGGGGGGTTCTTAGCGCAGAACTCAGCAGGAAGGGCGGCGCGGTAGCGAGTGTCACTAGTGCGGAGGTGCGTAATGAGGTCAGCGACAGTGGGAAAGGCAGAGAGGTCAGGAAAGAGGTAGGGAAGCATGAGACGGCTCAGTGCAGCAGTGGCAGGAGAGGAGTAGCGTGCAACTACAGCGTCGTACAAGGTCTGAGCACTCTTGTACTGACGAAAATGCGCACGCTCAGAGTTAGGGAGGTGGCGACGCACAGCAAGACGTGCAGCAGCAGCGCGGGTGGCCCACTGAGAGCGGACAGTGGGATCAGCATCAGCAGCAGGAGCAGGAGAGGCGCCAGAGGTGAGGTCAAAGAGAGAGAGGCTGTCAGCTCTGTCACACTGTAAGAAAAGCTGCAGGTCATCTAGCCAGACCTCAAAATCAATGGCGCGACCCTCGGCGTCGAAGGCTAGGACACTAGGGGTGGCCATGATGACGACAGCGAAGCAGTGCAAGCAGTAGGGAAAGAGGGCGCAGTGACAGAGGGACTGTGCTCACCAGGCAGGGCAGGCCGTGCAGCTCGACAGAAAAGCAGAGCGGCGATCGGGCGGCTCGGGTGTACAGCTGCTCAGCTCCCGGGCGGCTCGGCGGCAGGGCGGCTCGGGTGCAGGGCGGCTCGGCTCCCGGGCGGCTCGGCGACGGACGGCTCGGGTGCAGGGCGACTCGGCTCCCGGGCGGCTCGGCGACTGGGCGGCTCGGCTGCCCGGCCGCCCGACTGCTGCAGGCGAGGCGGCGGGGTCGCGTAAGAGAACCGGGGCGGGGCCGCGAAGGGGCCGGCGGTAGGGCCGCGTAGGAGCCGGGGCAGGGCCGCGTTGGAGCCGGCGGCAGGGCCGGCGGTAGGGCCGGCTTAGGAGCCGGGGCAGGGCCGCGTTGGAGCCGGCGGCAGGGCCGCGCAGGGGTCGGCGCAGGGCCGAGCAGAGGCCGGCGGCAGGGCCGCGTAAGGAGCCGGCGGACAGGGCCGTGAAGGAGCCGGGACGGGGCCGCGTGAGAGCCGGCGCGGGGCCGAGTAGGAGCCGGCGGCGGGGCCGCGTAGGAGCCGGGGCAGGGCCGCGTAGGAGGCCGGCGCGGGGCCGCGTAAGGGGCCGGCGCAGGGGCCGCGTAAGGGGCCGGCGGCGGGGCCGCGTAAGGGGCCGGCGGACAGGGCCGCGTAGGAGCCGGGGCGGGGCCGCAATGGAGCCGGTGGCGGGGCCGAGTAGGAGCCGGGGACGGGGCCGCGTAGGAGCCGGCGCGGGGCCGCTTAGGAGCCGGCGCGGGGCCACGTAAGGGCCGCGTAAGGGGCCGGCGCGGGGCCGCGTAAGGAGCAGGCGGCGGGGCCGCGTAAGGGTCAGGGCGGGGCCGCGACAGAGTGGGCGGCGAGGCCGCAGGGGAGAGGGCGACTCGAGGGGTCGCTAAAAAAAACCGCGCCTCGGGGCGCGCTTCGGTGGGCCCAAAAAAAAACGGTCCTGGAGGGACCTAGCTCTATACCATGTGAAACAATGAGCAGAGGAATGAAATGACTAAGTCAGAAATTGGTACAAATAACAAACCCTAGGAATCTGTACCCCATATGTGCTACCCCACTACAGCCTACAAACATGTATCAGCTATAATGTTCTGACACCTCTTCCCCAGAATAGGACGAGAAGAATGCAATGCGTGAGTGTCAGATGCAGTTGAACACTAACTTTCATACAACCTGGTTGCTTAAAACTATTACATTACAGAATCTCATGCAAATAGATGTCAAAAATGGCAACGAGATATTTGGCTTTGTCAATTTTGATGTTTTGTGTTTTATATGTATGAAACCCCTATAATGATGTTAAAAATACCTTCACACATCTTATTGAGGATTGAAACACTCTACTTGGCCTTTTTTTTCCCCCAAATGCACGAAAAATGGCTTGTAGCCACCATATTTATGTGTAAAACCAATTGAGATATGGTTTTCCAGCCTCCCCTAGGCCTACTCAACCAAATGGATAGAAAATAAAATCATTAGACTACTTTAAAAAAAAACTTGAAACTTCATCATGTAACATCCATGTCTCTACTCAAACGGTTTTACCTCATTTGATGATCATTACAGCGTCACTCATAATGGTGTCATTAGAATGACACCTAAATGGGTTCAGACCCTTCTCATGTCATTATTAACTCAGTGGTATGGTATAGAGAAACATTGGAAAATAAAAAAACTACGCAACGTCGAAACGACATCGTTTGCCGCCATGCGACAGATATAGAGTTAGGTTGACAAAGTGACGCAAATAGCCCTAGCAAAAAAAAGAAACACAGCGTCAAAATGGCATGGTGAGCTGGTATCTTCTGCAATAAGATGTTGGTATTTTTTTTTGTAACGAATTTAACGCCTCATTGATCACAACAAACAACTGCTCTTGTTACACATGTAATTCAAACTACTAGAATAGTTGGGTGCCAAATATTACCTAAATATGCATGTCTAAACATTCAAGGCTGTTTACAACTCAAAGGCATATTACACAAACAATTTCCATCAATTAATTTCTTCTAAAACTGTAACGGAGAAGATCTTCAGCGGGTCAAGCCCACTTAGTGTGCCAAGCCCTCGCTACCAGCTGCTTCCTGGAAGTACATCGAAACCCTCCCATTCTTACAGGGCAGTAAGTTTGAATCGAACGACCAATAGCAATCGCTCGAATGGTTTTGCAGAAGTTTCCTAGAAGAACTCAAAATGGTTCGACCAATAATATCGCTCGCGAGGGTGGTGTCGAAATTTCTGTGATGCTGCACCCCTCTGATTCCCGAGTCGCGGTACCATTAAAGCAACCTGCACGTAGGTTCAGGCAAGTTACTCTCTCGCAAACCCTGAAAAGCATGCCACCCCGACCTCACACATTTTGGGATGTGACAGCAGAGGCGCGATGGCAGCTGGTGGACGAATGCACTCACGCCCTGCTTGCCGAGGTGGGGTGGTTGAGGTAGTGGAGGAGGTGTGATAGAGGCATAGGGTGGTAGAGCTGGTGGAGTAGACGAGAGAGTGGCTTAGTTGGAATGGCAGCTGCTGCACGCACACTCACCTGTAGCACACAAATGATGCCTCTTCGCACGCTGTGATGCTACAGGTGGGGCCATAGAGTTGTGGGCCCCACATAGTTTGTTGAGCCTGAGTGGTGCTCGCTGCATTCATGGTTAGTGGTAGCTCACGGTGGCGGCTCCAAGTCAAAGACCAGCCAGGTGGCACTGGCAGCTGTCACTGCATGCGTGCATGGTATTAGTGATCAGGGATGGCCGTGATTGAGGGCTCTGCTCTCATGACCCGTCAGTTTGGACACAGCCCAGGCAAAAGCCGCTTGCTTGGATGGGATCATATCGCATCGCATGCTCTCCTTTCATTGTTCCTCTCCCCCCTCCAAATCATCTCTCACTGCCCTTCCTCCATCATCCCTCGCTACCCTCGCTCCACTCCCCAGGTGAGAAGGGGTTGCAGTGGGGGAGTGGCAGGGGAGGGAGTGGTGGGTTCAAGGGGAGGCGGTGAGGGGGGCGGTGGAGGATGGCAGATGGGCGCTCTACTGCCACCTGCTGGCCCACCTCCGGTTCACCCCGCACAACGGCGCGGCGCTGACAGGTAGTGTAGTGTAGTGAGACTGCTGGTAGTGTACTGCCGTCTTGACGGGCTGTAGCATCTCTTTTATCGGCCCTAGCACCGCGCTAGTCAGTTGTCTTGTCGGTCCACAGCCCCTCAGGCTCAAATAGCAAGGCACATCTCATGCGAAGCAGGGTGCTTTTGGTCCCTCCCCCTCCCCAGTCATGCCGAGCAGATTTGATTGTTTGCCATGGCCCATGGGATGTCTGCCTGGCGGTGGTGGTAAACTGGTAGAGGAGGCGCCACAGGCGACCCTGTTGCCGATTGTGAGTCAACAACGTTGCCTGTGCTGTGGCATGTCACCGCCTCCTTTGGCGTGTTGCCACCTTCTTACACCCCCCCCCCCCTGCCCCGCTCAATCGCGTTGCGCATGTGGAGTTGGTTGCCCCCTGCTCTCCCCTGCCCCCCTTCCCCCCTGCTCCCCTTCCCCCCAGTCCCCCTCCCCCCCCTGCCCCCCTTCCCCCCTGCCCCTCTTCCCCCCTGCCCCTCTTCCTCCCTGTCCTCTTTCCCCCCTGCCCCCCTCCCCTTCCCTACTGTCCCCACTTCCCCCTACTCTCCCCCCCTTCAGTTCCGCATGTGGTGGTGGAGAGCGCAGAGGTGCCACAGGCCACTCTGGTTCCGACTCCCTCCCTGCTCCCTGCCATACCCCTTCCTCCCCGCTGCCCTCCCCATCCCCTCTCCCACAGTCATACGGCCCGGGTGGGGGTGGAGATGGCGGAGGCGGTGCTGCTGGCCGTGATGGAGGCGGCCAGCAGAGAGGACAGCCGCCACTGGATGGGGCTGTCCCTGCCTCGCCTTGACTCGCTTAACTCGCTTGAAGGGGGCTACAGTGGTGGCAGCATGGAGGGGGGGGGCTGAGAGAGTTGCGAGGGGGGATTGCAGGGTGGGAGGTGGAAGGGGAGGGTAGGGGATGCAGCAACAGCAGTAGCAGTAGCAGGGGAGGAATGAGCATGGGTGATGATTTGAGGAGTATCCCTGTTCCGAGAGGAGTATCGGTCTTCTCGACGATTTGACAAGTTCAGGAATGAGGTGATTCACATGCGTAGTTGCCTCTTTGGAACACCATTCATACTCCCTCTCCCTTCCCCCAAACCCCGTGAGCCCCTCTACTCCCTTCCCTTTATCCTCCCGCTCCCCAAACACGCCTGCACATCTCTTCCTTTTTCTGACCCTTCATGCTAGACTCATGAGTTCTCCGTTCCACGTGCTGCTGTGCAAGTGCACATTCCATTGTCTGTCTACGCTCCGCCCGCTTTCTCGCCTTCTTTTTTTTACTCTGTCTGCTCCCCCTTTTTCGCTGCTATGTCTCCGCCTGCCAGGTGGCACTGCGCAAGTGGCTGCGCTGCAACGTGACATCGGTGGTGGCCATCTTTGAGGACCGCTTCCTCCTCTGGGGGCTGCGCCGCCGCTCGCCAACCCCTGCCCTCTCCATCCTCCCCACCACCCACCATCCCGACCGTCCGCCCCACCCCTGCTGCTGCCGCATGGCCATTCCCGGATCCCACACTGCCAGACTCATCGCAGCAGCTTGCATCTCAGCTGTCCCCCGTGGCATTCCCCAACAACTTCACCAGTGTGGGCAGCGCCACCACAGCAGGCGCACCTCTGGCCTGGCTGCAGGGGCTGCTGAGAGGAGGCTCGGGAAGCAGCACTGGTGGTGTGGACAGGGGTGGTTCAGGAACGGGTGCAGGACGTGCCCACCCCCTGCCATCCCCACCATTCCCTCCACCCCCACCGCCCGCCTCGCCCCTGCTGCTGCGCATGGCCATTCCAAGAACGCACACTGCCAGCCGAGCAGCATGTGTCTCAGCTGCCCCCCGTGTCGTTCCCCAACGACTTCACCAGTGCGAACAGCACCTCAGCAGGCGCGTCTCTGGCGTGGCTGCAGGGGCTGCTGAGACGAGGCAGCGCGAGCAGTGCGGTGGTTCAGACATGGGTGCGGTGGTTCAGACATGGGTGCGGTGGTTCAGACATGGGTGCGGTGGTTCAGACATGGGTGCGGTGGTTCAGACATGGGTGCGGTGGTTCAGACATGGGTGTGGTGGTTCAGACATGGGTGCGGTGGTTCAGACATGGGTGCGGTGGTTCAGACATGGGTGCTGTGGTTCAGGTGGTGAGAGGGAAGGGGGGTGAGGAGGCGGGCATGGGTGCAGCGATTGGCACGCAGCAGTGGTGGCAAGGGGAAGAGGAGGCAGGGGAGGGCAGGGGTGGCCCGGTGGGTCTGGTGCGGCACAGTGTGGTGGGTGGCAGACGAGGGGAGCTGCGGCAGCTGAGAGGATGGTGAGAGGAGGGTAGTGGGGTGGCGTGGTGGGCAGGGATGAGGTGGTGGGCAGGCATGGGGTGGTGGGCAGGCATGGGAGGTGGGCAGGCATGGGGTGGTGGGCAGGCATGGGAGGTGGGCAGGCATGGGGTGGTGGGCAGGCATGGGAGGTGGGCAGGCATGGGGTGGTGGGCAGGCATGGGAGGTGGGCAGGCATGGAAGGTGGGCAGGCATGGGGTGGTGGGCAGGCAGGCAGGCACTCAAAATCTTACGGTACTGTTCAGATTGTTTGAGAAGTTATCCAATCATGCACCCTTGTTTGCAAATTGCAATGGTCCTTAATCTGGGTTGCTTAGGGGCAGCCCTCTGACATCCAGCTACCATAAATACTTCTTCTCATCATAAAGACAGCATGCGGCAAATGTTCCTGAGACGAGCCACACCTGCAAAGATGGCCAACAACTACCATCCCTACTTCCTCCTACTGACAGTCAGGAGGCTCCCAAAAACATCGTTCAGGGCAGTGGTTGACGTCAATGCTGCCTGGACAAGTGCGAGTGCCTGCAAACACGGAATCAACTGCATTGAATGAGTATCGAATCAGACAATGGCATACTCTAGCTAACATAGAGAACCAATCAGGCCCAACTCACATGGTCCTGGGTAACAGTAGTCTCGCAGCTCTCCAGGTCAGCCATGGACTTCACGCCCAGTGTGTTGAGCAGGCTGATGCTCTTGATGGTGGAGCTTGGGTAGAACTCCAAGTTGTCTGTCACCATGAATGTAAGTGTCTCCTTCACAAACCCTCCAGAAAGGTTCGCACTGTTATTGACTAGGGTAAGGGTATTGCTCATGTAATTACCACAGCGGCCGCTAGGGCAGTATGCTCCTGAATCTCCCACATAATGGCGTGAAGGACATGTGTAAAATGGCCCGGAGCCACTAGCAGAGACTCCATGGGATGGCTGTATGGTATGGGTCATGACCCGTGCACATGAGCCACACTCGGCACCTGGTCCAATCGAGATATACCAGTGGTTTGCAGTGGAGCACGTGAAAAAGCCCCCAGTTCCGGTCGACTGTGGTACCTGTTCCTGCCAACCTAGTAGGCGCACCTGAGTCCCTTCAGGTGGAGACGGGCTCACAACGAAGCTCTTGTCGACCTTCATGTACGAACTATCAAGGTTTTCCGCGCTGGAGAAGACATTAAATATTCCAATGGGCCTTTTGGTGGTCATTCCGGCATCAGAAAGTAGTCTCAGCAGGTTGGCAGTCGGCATCCGAAGGAGAGCCATGAGAAGATCGATGAAGTCCTTTCCAGCCTCTAGGTACAAAATTTTCTCCTTTTCCTGGAAACGTGGCAACGAGAACCTTAGCAAACGATCAAAAAGAAGAAGAAAAAAAAAGTAAAAAGGAGAGGGAGAAAAAACTCCATCCTGCAACTTCTCACTCCTTACCTTGCTGAAAAGTATATTGACTTGTAACGCCGCCATGGGGGCAGCTTACTAAGGACGAGTGAGGAAAAAGAAGGGCTTTATGGTCCGAACGTGAGTGATGCACCACTTCAGCAGTGAGAATGTACCAGTAGCTGAAGATTCCACGGGGTCGCCGACTGTCCATGAGTGCGTGTTCAATAAACGACGTTGGGCGCCATCTTGAGACTTTGGACACGGCCGTTCCAAGTAATGACATCTGGATTGTGCAGCTCGCAAGAACATTCCACTTGAAACGCACGCATAACGGGATACACTAGAGCCTAGTAGGACATGGGGTCTCGTTGAGAGTGATCCAGCACTATCAGCCAGCCAACGCGATTTTTCTTAGTAACCATTCGTGTCGCCTGGATAACTGCTCATAATATCCACACATCAGACTTCGAGCATGTATGCTGGATAAGCGATCACGAGAAATTTGGAGCAATGCGTTGGCGGGAAGAAACCCATCAACATCTGTGTAGACCATGCTAACCACCCTTCAAATTCTCGCACCCTTGGGCTGAGGAAAGAGCCAAGATGATTCTAACCAAAGTTCTCTTAATCGCATAGAATTCTCATCCTATCCGTTGCGGGAACGGGGAGTCGAAGGTCCACTGGGCTAACTTCGACTCCCGATAGTCTAGTGGTCTCTTATTGGTGTGACCAGGTATTGTTTGCATGCCCAAAGACTTGTGCTGTGGTGCTTGGTTGGCCGTGAGAGTTGGGCGTGGGTTGGGCGTAAGTTGGGCGTGAATTGTATAAATCCGTCAGGCAGAACCTCGATTCTGTGTAAGGACAGGACAAGCGGATTGACAAACTTACGATCCCTTGCAAAGTTTTGGCGAAAGCATTGCCGACCATTTGTCGACAACAGGGAAATTGGTCGAGGTTCAATATTCGTAAAGTTCTATTCGCAAAACAGGAAACCAAGTTACCACCTGAACTGGTACATTCCGTCACGATCAGGGGAAGGGTGATTGGCCATCGACACAGTCAGCACACGTACTTCCGTTGTTCACCCGTCATTCACGCCCGAACTGGCTCAGTATCACTCCGTTTCTACTACACCTCAGGTACGAGCACACTCTAGATGCTCCCTGCTTTAACCTTACAATGACTTCTTAGCAGACGAATTAGAATAGCCTCAGAGAACATGTTTGCTGGTCGCTTAGGTTCCCCCCGTCACCCTCGCTTGCCCGCGACGCCTTCGGTTCCTTGGCTCCCCTCAGTCGCTTCCTCACGTCGAACACTCTCAGCTCGTTGCCCCCTTCCATTCGTCGCCATCCCTTCCCCTCGTCGCCCTCCCTTCCCCTCGTCGCCCTCCCTTCCCCTCGTCGCCCTCCCTTTCCCTCGTCGCCCTCCCCTACCGATTGTCGCCCTCCCTTCCCCTCGTCGCCATCGCTTCAACTCGTTCGCACCCACATACCACACGCAGCAGCCCGAACAGACCTCCCTCCGTTCCCCCACTTACCTCGTCCTTCCCCCACATATCACCACCCTCCTCCCCCACATATCACATGCATTTCCCCCCACCCTTCCCCGTTCTTTTCCCCACATACTACCAACCTTCCCCTGCCCCGCCGTCGCGTCCCCTGGCATCGCTAGCCTTGCTCGTCAACCCCCCCTCTCTCTTCCTCTCATCGCCCTCGCTTTTCCGCGCCTCTCGTTTTTCCGTCTCCCCGTCTCTCTCGCTTTCTTCGTCGCCCTGCTATCCGCTCCTCGTCGCCTTCGCCTTCCCAGCCGTGTCCCGTCCCCCCTCGCACACTTGTCACCCTCCCTTTTCTCCCCCTATTTACTCCCTTCCCTCGCCCCAACAATCGCCCGGCGCCTCCCCCCCACTTATACCGCTCCCTCTCACTGGTTACCTCTCTCCCTCTTCCCCCCATCCTCTGCCCTGCTCCCCACAATCCCCTGCCCTGCTTCCCCCCATCTGAGCTGCTTCCCCCCATCCTCTGAGCTGCTTCCCCCCATCCGCTGCTTCCCCCCATCCTCTGAGCTGCTTCCCCCCATCCTCTGAGCTGCTTCCCCCATCCTCTTCCCTGATCCCTTCTCCCTTGCCCTGCTTCCCTATCCTCTTCCTTGATTCCCCCCCCACCCCACCCTTCTCCCCCATCCTCTGACCTGCTTCCCCCAACCCCTGCCCTGCTCTCCCCCCCCCCCCCCTTGCCCTGCTTCCCCCCATCCTCTCCCCTGCTTCCCCCCATCCTCTCCACTGAGAGGTGAGTGGCACACGCCAGGTGAGACCAGGATGAGATGAGGGGAATGATTGATGAGATCCACGTGGCAGGTGAGGGCGTGGGGGACGAGGGGAGTGATAGGGATATGGTAGGCGAAGGGCGGGCGAGGCAGATACGCAGATTCCAAGAGCAACATGCAACTGCAGCTGCACTCGATGTGCTGCCATTCTCCCCCGTATTCCCTTCCCCTGCTCGTGCCTCTCCTCCATACTCTCCCTCTCCATGTGTTCCTCCTCTCCCTCCTTTGCACTTCCATTCGTCTCTCCCACCCCTCCTGCTCCTGCTCCACCCGTCCCATATCCCACCTGACAGGAGGTCGACCTAGAAGCCGTGCAGAATATGGACCACAGCAGGGTGCGGGACACGAGTCTTCACCCTTCTTACCTCCCTCCCTCCTTTACCTCCCGTATCCCACCCTCCTTACCTCCCGCCCTCCTTACCTCCTGCTGTGCGATCACCACTCCCCAGCGTTGCTTCTTATTCCTTCTTGCCCGCCCCCTATCATTTTTTCCCACCTTCCTATCGGCCCTCCCACTCTCATTCCTTCCTGCCCTTCTCGTTAAAGCCCGAGTCTAGAATGGTAAGGGTTCAACTTCAAGATTCTTGAACTTGAGTTCGTCAGGAACAGGGTAACCAGATTGAGAAAGCTTCTCCCTCGCGACCCACCAAGAAGGGAGTTGGTGGGCCAGAAGGTGATTGGCCAAATGCTCCACAGCAAAAACAGCGACGAGCCTCACCAGAAACAAACAAGAACAAGTATCACCGTTCACAATTTCAGAACTTGAAACTCGAAAATACCTTTCTAGACTCGTAGCATAGTGTGCTCCATAGCCCTAGTTCTCGTCGTTAGCCGAGTATAGTTACGCCCATCTCCATACTATGCTAAGACTTTAGTAGCACATAGAGACGGCCCTTCCCGTCGACTTTTCCGCGCATAACAAGTGCGATCTGGTAGCCAACAGCAAATCCAGAATGCCGCCTCGATTGATCGCCATCGTAAGAATCACTCGTCGCCACTGACAGTTATATCGCGTTAGCCGACACTCGCATAGCCAATAGCGAGATCAGCTATGACACCTCGACAATCACTCCCATCCCACACTCAATCCCTTCCCGCACTCAATCAAATCATTCACAGACTGCTGTCGCTCTCCCGCTTCCGTCATCCACACTCGCCGGAGGCACATGTCACTTTCTCAATCCCGTCACTCACTCACACCCGTCGCTTACACACTCCCGTCGCTCACTAACTCCCATCTCTCACTCAATCCCGTCGCTCACACACTCACTCCCGTTCCGCCGTCACTCCCGTCGCGTCTTCACTCCCGTCATCCACACACGTCGCAGGCACATGTCACCCACACGCGCCATACACGACTTAATCACACCATGTCCCTCTCGCCTCCCTCCTCCAGACCCTCTCTTCTCCTCTCCTCCCTTGCCTCTTCCCTTCCCTACGCGCTGCTCCCCCTTCCCTACCGCTGCTCCCCCTTCCCTACGCGCTGCTCCCCTTTCCCTACGCGCTGTTTCCCCTTCCCTACGCGCTGCTCCCCCTTCCCTACGCGTCACACACGACTTGCCCACACATGTTCCCATCTCCCCTCTCCTCCCTTCCCTTTTCTTTCCTCTCTTCCCTTCCCTCTCTGTCCACCTCCTTCCCTTCCCTGTCTTCGCCTCGCCTCCCCTCCCACTCATCCCCTCTCCTTCCTTCCCTTCCCTCTTTCCACTGCCCGAGGACCAGGGAGGGGGACTGAGGAGACCTTTCTTCCCTCCCGCCTCACTCGCTCCCCTTGCTCACTCAATTCCATTGCTTGCTATTGCACGTCACCTTCACGCACACCTTTGTCACAAAGACACTCACTCACTCACTTCCTTCTGTTACCAACATCACTCCTGTTACCATGCCTGTCACTTGCTTCCCTCACCGCTTCTCTCCTCCCTTCCCTCTCTCACCCCCCCTCCATCCTCCAGTCCCTCCCGTCCTTCCCGTCGTGCACGTCCCTCCTGTCCCTCTTGTCCCTCCCGTCCCTCCCATTCCTCCCGTCCCTCCTGTCGCCCAACACCTTCCGTCCCACCCCTCGCTTCAGTTCCGCATTCGCTCCTGTCGTTCTCTTCCCTCCCGTCCCTCCTTTCCCTCTCCGGTTCTCGTCATCCGTCCCTCATTCGCATCGCTCACTCGATCCGTCGTGCACTCCCCCCGTCGCTCGAACGAACGCACCGTCCACGCAGGGCAACCGCCTTGCATCGGGCCTGTCGCTCACACACTTACATGTGACATTCACTCCCATTCCGCACACTCACTCCCCTCCTCTCCTCTCCCTTTCCCCGTGTCCTTCCCTCCGTTTCCCCCCTTGTTCCTCTCTCTCTTTCCCTGTGTCCGTTTCCCACCTTCCCCCTCCCTCCCTTTCCTCCATTCCTAACTGCTCCTACCCTCCCCTCCTTCTCATCACTCGTTTTTCCCAGTTCTTCTGATCTCCGCCCTTCCCCGTCACCCACACACGTCGCAGGCACATATTACTTACACCTTCCCTCCTCCCACTTCCCCTCCTCCCACCTTCCTTTGCTCCTACCCTCCCTTCCCTCTGTTCCGCGCACCTCTCTTCCGCCATCTCTCCGCCCTTCTCACTGAACCCTCTCCTCCTTTTTCTCCCCCACTCTTTGCTTTCTTCTCATTTCATCTCTCTTCGCTTCACTGTCCTCTACTCTCTTCCCTTCACGTCTCTTTCATGTCCTCTACGCTTTCCTTCTCGCTGCTCGTATCCGCTCGCTTGTTCTGACTCCATGGGTCTTCTCAAGTTGAACCCGACTTACGCCTCACAAAATGGATGTGCAGCACCACCACTCTCCTTCCGCAGTTGTGAACTGGAAGAGCGATAATGGGCACGAGATGGATTATATATTTTTTTACTAGGGAAATAACTGACTCGACACTGTCTCACCTGCTTGTTTTATGTCCCCTTTTTGGCTGGCATAAATATATTCCAGCAAATCGCCCATCTCAGGGCTTTAGTTTTCATTTACGGTACCCTAAACCATTTTTTACAAGTTTCTAACTCGGTCTTACATATGTTGAAAACCATTTTGTAACAGCTTGGTCAATATTCTGGAATCCCTTGAGGCATCTCAGCTTCTGGCAAATAGTAGCATTTTTGTCCTTGTCTGCAGCCAGCCTTGTTTCTTGAACTCGAAAGCTGGGTTGGGTTGTACTTCCCGCTTCTACCCTTCGCCACACCTGATTTGCGATTTTTTCTGTCGCCACACTTCGCAAATCAAACTTTAACTTCAGTAAATATGAAAGTTAGCCATTCTAGACTCGGGCTTTAAATTTAATGGGCGTGAAAATGAAGCATTGTAAGGAAAATTCCCTTTCCTTACTTTGCGCCCCTGCTCAGCGCATACATCACTGTAGCACCACAATCAGCACTGTTACCACTCGCATCGACAATCCTCCCGCCACCTTCGCACGTCGCACCCCGACCTCACAGCTCGACGGGTAACCCGCGCTCCGGGCCTCCGCCTCGACATTTCCCAACCACAGTCCCAACCACAGTCCCAACCTCAGTTCCAGGCCCGTCGGGCGTTACCCACAGTTCGTTATCGTTACCACTGTGGTCTTCGCTATTTAGTTTGCTGGGCTGAGAAAAACCCTTATAATCTTTTACAGGATTAAACTTTGAGTAGGAACAATGTAATAGCTGTTGAGATGATAGCTAGAACGAGGAGCCATAGCTAGGTAAACCCTAGCTAGGCAAGAGAAAATAGGCAAAAGGAGGGATTGCACTAGCAAGCAGGTGGATACAAATAGGAAACCCTAAGGGGCTGTACTCACTATAGAGTACCCCACTGCAGGCTAGACAAGCATTATATTCTGACACACCCCCATAGTCAAAGTGGGGTATAATCAGCACAGCAAGCAGGCATAGAGTAATAGTTCACAATGATAAGCAAAGCTAGAGGCTATCACAGAGGGCAAGTGAGGAGGAGGAGAGACTGTGGGGGAGAGAAGATGGGAGGCGACTGCTGAAGCTGCAGACACACAGGAGCTGCTGGCTCAGTGGCTACCGAAGCAAAGGCCCGGACTACAGGAGTAACTGGCTCCGCGGAGATTGTAGCCTCCTGACCGGAGCAACTGACCCACAGGCGACTGGCGACTACCGGAGATTGTAGCCTCCGGACTACTGGTGCTGCTGGCGACACGACTGCTACCTCCGCTCAACCTCCGCCAACTTCCCCACACCCCTCCCACACACCCCCTGCTGAAACCCTAGCTCCACTCCCACGGCACCCCCCTTAAACCCTAAGCCCTAGTCTCCCACACACCCACCCCCCTCAGCGACAGCTACAGCAGTGGGAGACGAGGGAGGAGGAGGAACAAGGGGAGGAACTCACAACCACCACCCGCACACCCGCCACCCCCAAACCCTAACGCAGGTAGGAGCGCGGGAAGCAGCAGGGGCGGGTCACGGAGGGAAAGGGAGGCGGCGGGGCGTCTTCAGTGCTCCACGAAGGAGCAGGGCGCGGGCCCCCCGAGGGCGCCACGGCGGGTGACGGGAGGGGGGCTGCGCACGGGCCCACGAGGGTGGCTCGACGGGCGACGAGAGGGGCCGCGCGCGGGCCCCCAAGGCGCCGCGACGAGGCGATGGGTGGGGCCGGCGCACGGGCCGGCGCAGGGGCCCCCAAGGCGCCGCGACAAGGCGACGGGAGGGGCCGGCATGCGGGCCCCCAAGTCGCCGCGACGAGGCAACGGGAGGGGCCGGCGCACGGGCCCCCAAGGCGCCGC